CATTTGCACCAACAGGGTACAAAGATTTCCTTTTTTTCCTATGTACTCCCCAAAACTTATCATCTTTTTTCTTGTTTATAATAGCCATTTGATACACGTAAAGGGATATTTTGGTTTCAGTTTGCATGTCTCTGATGATTAGCAAAGTTGGCATTTTTTTTTCATGAATGTTGGACATTTATTTATTTATATTCTTGAGAGAAATTTCTATTTGGGTCCTTTACCAATTTTTAATTTTGTTCTTAACTATTGAGTGGTTTGAGTTTCTTTTACATTTTGGATAGTAGTCACTCACAGATGTACAGTTCGCAAAGACAAAGGTTGTGTAGACTATCTCCTCACTCACCCTTCCTGCATCTTGTCATTTCACCCTGTTGATTACTTCCTTTACGGTGCAGAAGCGTTTTGGCTTGACCTAATTCCACTTGTTTATTTTTGCCCTGGTTGCCTGTGCTTTTAGGGTCGTCGTCTCCATGATATTCTCCCCCAGGCCAATGCTGTGGAGCTTGAGCCTGCCATCTTTGTGTGGCTTCCCCACTTAGGCTGGCTTTAGTACAGAGCCCTCCCTTCTCTATAAGGAGATGTTTCCAGAACCCAGTGGAGGTTTGGACCCAGGGGTGGTGTCGTACTTGCGGAGAAGCCCCGGGACACCCAGTGCATGGCCATCAGTCTGACAGCAGGTGGCTGCTGGGCCTAGGAGCTGGTGACGTACGCAACAAGGGGATTCATGTCCTGAGTGGGCGGTGCTGGGTGGCGTGAGAGTTTATCCTGCTGTGGAGAGTGATGTCACCTCAACACTTAGGGATCATCTCTGGAATTCCCCTTTGTCTATTTTCAGTTTGTGTTTGACCATGGGTAAGTGAAACTGCAGGAGAAGATGGGCCCCGGGAGGGGCTGTGAGACAGGGCTTGGTTTTGCTCTTTTATGTGTGGATGTCCAGTTTTCCCAGCCTAACTTACTGAAGAGATGGTCTTTCCTCCAGTTTACATTCTTGGCACCTTTATCTGAAATCAAGTATGTGTGGAATTTATTTCTGGGCTCTATTCTGTCCCTTTGGTGGGGAATGTGTACCATACTGCTCTGATGCTATAGTTTGTGGCATGTCTTGAAGTCTGGGAGTATAATTCCTTCAGTTTCATTCTTTGTCAAGTTCACTTTGGTTACTTGGGCTTTTTCGTGGTTTCATATAAATATTAGGATTATTTCTATTTCTGTGAAAAAAAATGCCATTGGGATTTTGATAGGGATTGCATTGAATCTGCAGGTCATCTTCAGTAGTATGTACAACTTAACAGTATCGATTCTTCAAATCCATGAACATGGTATATCATTCCATTTTCATGACTTCATCAACTTCTTTTATCAATATTTCTTTAGAATTCAGTATGCATGTTTTCTACCCCCTTGATTAAATTTATTACTAAGTATTTTTGTAGATATCACAAATAAGTTTATTTTATTGATTTCATTTTATATAGTTTATCATTTTTATAGAAATATTTCTATTTCTGTATGTTCATTGATATGCTGAACCTGAATTGTTAAGATTAATTCTAGTGTTTTTTTGGTTTTTGGTGGAATCTTTAGGGTTTTCTGAATAAAGACCATATATCTGCAATCAGAAACAGTTTACTGCTTCCTTTCCAACGTACATGTCTTTTATGTCCTTCTCTTGCCTAATTGCTCTAACTAGGACTTCCAGGATTCTGTTTAATAGAAATGGCAAGCAATCCTACTTGTCTTGTTCTTGATTTGGAGAAGAGGCTTTCAACTTTTCACGGATGAATGTGCTGTTAGCTGTGAGTTTGTTAATCCTTTCTTGTCTTGAGGTTCAATCCTTCTATTCCTAATTTTATCATGAAAGGATGTTGCATTTTGTCAAATAAATTTTCTGCATCTTTGAGAAAATCATATGGTTTCGTCATTCATTCTGCTGATCTGGTGCATCACATTTATGAATTTGTGTGTGTCAATCCATCCTGGCATCACTTGGGTAGAGCCTACTTGTTTTTGTGAATTATTATTTTTTTAATGTAGTTTTGAATTCATTTTCCTTGTACTGTCAATCACTTCCTCATCTAAGTTCATAAGCAACATTAGCCTGTAATTTAACAATTATTTTCCTTTGGTTTTCCTTTCTGACATTGGTATGCCAGCCTCAAAAAAATGAGTTTTGAAGTATTTTTTCATCTTCAGTTTTTTTAAGAACCTTTGAAAAAGAATGAAAATAAGTCCTTTTAAAAGGTTGGTAAACAAATTATGCTATGTTCATGTATGGATATACTGCAATACATACTGCTTATATATAATTATAGTGTACTAACTAAAATCATAATAAGAACAATAATAGAAGGGAGATCAGTAGAGTAACTGGATTGGGGAAGGGAGGAGGAGAAGGAAAGGGAAGGAAGGTACTGGGAATGGGATTGATCAAGTTGCATTATGTGCATGTACAAATACGGTACCATGATTGCCACTGTTGTGTGTAATTATAATGCACTCATAAAAGCTTTTTTTTAGAATCAAAGAGCAAAGTGGTCAGGTCCTGGAATTTTCTTTGATGAGAAACTTTTACTACTCATTCAGTCTTATTAATTTTTGATCTGTTCATATGTTTTTATTTCTTCCTGATCCCATCTTGTTAGGTTACATGTGTCCAGGAATTTTTCATTGCTTCTAGATGGACCAATTTTTTTTTTTTTGGCATGTAACTGTTTATAGTAGTCTCATGGTTCCTTGTATTTCTGTGTTATTGGTGATAACATCTCTTTCATTTCTGTTTATCTTTTGAGTCTTCTCTCTGGTTTTCTTAGTCAAAGATTTATCAATTTTAGTTATTTTCTCAAAAAACCAACAGTTAGTTTCATTGATTTTTTTCTTGTTTTTCTAGTTTCTATTTCATGTGTTTCTGCTATCATCCTAATCAATTCCTTCCTTCTACTACCTTTGGATGTAATTTGTTCTTCCATTTTAGTTCCTTGAGGGGTAGAATTGTATTATTTGAGAATTTTTTTTGTGTAGGTACTTACCAGTATCAACTTATCTCCTAGGATTTTTCTTGCTACATCCCAAAGTTTTGGTATGTTTTTGTCCATTTTCATTTGTCTCAATATAATTTTTAAATATCCCTTGGAATCTCTTTTTTTTGACTCATTGGTTGATTTGGAGCATTTTTTTAAAATTTCCATGTATTTATGAAATTTTCAAAAATTGCTCTTGTTATTGATTTCTAGTTTCCATGGGAATGTGCTCAGTAAAGATTTTTGATGTGAATTTCCACATTCTTCAATTTTTATTTTTAATTTTTTTTTAAATATTTATTTTTTAATTCTCGGCGGACACAACATCTTTGTTTGTATGTGGTGCTGAGGATCGAACCCACGAACCCGGGCCGCACGCATGCCAGGCGAGTGCACGACCGCTTGAGCCACATCCCCAGCCCACATTCTTCAATTTTTAAAAACTTCCTTAGCAGCATCACCTATGTTCTGACCTGAAGAACCTTTCATGTGCAGTTGAGGGAATGTTGGAGGGAATGTTCTGTATGAGTGTCCTGGGTTCATTTAGTCTAAAATTTAATTGAAGTCTGATGTTCACGTCGACTCTGTCTGAAAGGGTTCTCAATCCCTTTCTATTCAGTAGTCCATCTCTTCTAGGGGGACTAACAACAGGGGCCCTCTATCCTGAGTCACATCACTAGCCCTTTCTACTTTTTGAGACAGGGTCTCAGTAAGTTGCCGAGGCTGGCCTCAAACTTGCACTCAACCCTGTAGTCCATCTTTTCCTTCATGTCTGTAATTCTTCCTTCCTACACTTAGTGCTCTGGGGTTGAGTGTGTACATGCATTTGCAACGGTTCTATCCCCTTGGTGAGTCGACCCTTCAGCACTGTGTAGTCCTGTGTTTGGTCCCCTGTGTAGTTTTTGTCTTTAAGTCTGTTTTGTCTCATCTAAGTGTAGTTACTCTGTTCTCTTTTCATTTCCATTTGCTTGGGATATCTTTTTCTACCCTTCACTCTCACTTCCTGTGTCTTCTTAAATGTAGAGAAAATCTTTTGCAGGCAGCACCTAGTGGGTTTGTTTTTCCATTCCCGTGTCCTCTCTGCGTCTTTGGAGTGGAGAACATAGTGCATTTGCATCGGAGGTGGTGGTTGTCCCTAGCTGAGGACTCCCTGCTGCAGTTCTGTCCCCTCTCTTCCAGTTGCTTGGTCCTTCTTTGGTTCCTTTCTTCCTTTCTTGCCACCTTCTTTTCATTTGATGATTTTTCTCCAGTTGCATGTTTTAATTTTCTTTTCTTTTTTTTTTTTTTTTTTTTGAGGGGGGTGGCTGGGCAGGAGTTGAAATCAGGGGCACTTATTCACTAAGCCACATCTCCAGCTCTGTTTTGTAATTTCTTTAGAGATGAGGCCTCACAGAGTTGCTTAGTGCCTCACTGTTGCTGAGGTTGGCCTTGGACTCCCGATCCTCCTGCCTCTGCCTCATGAGCCTCTGGGATTACAGTCGTGCGCCACTACCACCCACCCTACTTTTTAAATTTCTATCCTTTGTGAATCGACTGTAGGTTTTTGTTTAAAGGTCGTGATTAGGTGAACATAAAACACAGTTATAACAAGCTTTTTGAAGCTGATAACAATGTCAATTGCATATCAAAGACTACACTGTTCGGTTTTTATGTCAGATGCACATCTTTTCATATTATGTATATCTCAACAAATTATTGTAGTGATTATTATTTTTAATAGTGTCTCTTTAAACATTTATGCTTTCAGGTTAGATTCGAAGACCTGGGACCATGTATTTTAATTCTGTTTCACATATATTTGACATAGTGATGAACATGGAATAAATACTCATTTATTGCAATGGGATTAACATGTCCACATAGGAAGTGGTATTGTTCCCTCCAGTGGCAGCTGATGCTGTCACCACACTGTTGTGCATGCTGGCTTCTGTTGACCTACTTGGTAACGACGTTCTCCCTCTTCTCTCTTCCCAACTGCAGCGTGTGCATTCCGATACAACGGGCTGTCGTTTGTCTACCTGATCTACCTCTTGCTCATTCCTCTGTTTTCGGAACCAACAAAAGCAACAATGCAAGGTAAGAGACACTGTGTTATTCTGGACCACAGTTACGGGGCCCCAGTGCATTTGCTGGGCTTGCTGGGTTTGTCTTTATTCCCTGGGGAAGCTTCCACCTGTGCAGCAGGGTGGTCTGCCAGGGAGTGGGGTCCAGCCTTGTGACGATGGCTGCACCGGGCACCGCTGGATGCACACTGTGATATGTGCTTGTGCCACCTGCACAACTATTCTCCTGGTGTAAGTTCCCTACTGGGTCCTCATTGGTAGGCTTGGCAGTGCTTCTGGAATGTTTTGGTTAGTTAAAGTATTGTCAATAAAACAAGGCAGATGGCTGGCCCACATTGGCTTGTGCATTTGCATATTGCTGGGAGAACATGGTAACCGGAAGAGACACAGCAATGTCTGACTTTGCTGAGCCATTCTGTGGGAGAACTGAGTAAGAAGCCTGGTTACACTTGTACCTTGATCATGCATCTGTTGAGATTTCTTAAATCTGTCTTGACAACATACAGCAAGGGCGGTCTGAGCTGGGTCTGGTGTCTAAGCACATTCCAGCAAAGCTTTAGCATTCTTCTCATTGCTCCACAAGAATCAGGCATGGAACAGGAACTGCATTTTCTGGCCTCTAATTAGGAAACACAGTCTGGTTTATAATTTATTTAATTGAAGGGCTCCCGCAAGTATAAAAATGAAATCGCATTTAATTGATCTGATTAGTTGTTTTTTAACACATCACCATTGTAAGAAATAAGGGCCGTACCAAACTCCATGGGCAAGCAGGATGGCTGCGTGTGGACACGAAGGAAGGAAAGCTGGCTCTGCGCAACCTACAGAGTGGCATGGAGAAGCCACGGGCAATCCCCTTAGTGACCGGGGCTCAGGAGATGAGTGCAGCCCACAGTGCACCCAAAACAGCAAATACCTTCCCATTCTCATCCCATTAGTAAATTTATGAAGCATATTATAAGCATTCTTCCTGGTGATTATAACTGCAGATACCATGGTATTGTCCTATCTCAAGGAACTTAAAAAATAACCCTTTCATGTTATTTAACTACTTAATATGCAAAGTTCAGACAAGCTGGAGAAACATGTTTTTGCAAATCTTTATCGAACCATAGATACCCTGTCTGTGGGACCCCACACACCACAGCCTCATTTCTAAATTGTCTAACATAAACAGAATGGATTCTAACCTCAAGGACAAGGTTTGAACACACGAGCAGCTCCTGCTTCATGGCTCAGAGCTCATTTCTCAAAGCAAGATTTCATGACACTCAAATGATACAGAGCTTCGAAAACAAGGACTTGAAGGTGTTGAATTAAACTGTCACTTTTTCTTTCACTGTTCTATCTGAGCTCAGACAACTGGGATTTCCCCTCCATATGTAGGGGACAACCCCTGAGTCTTCCTTTCCCCAAAGCAACAGCCCTGAAGGAGCAGCAGTGGCAGAAGTGCCATCTGTTTTAGTCCAGGGGCACTAATGACTATCAGGAAGGCTGTAGGGGCAACATACCCACGAAGAGCAAAACACCATGTAAGGAAATATCCTGCCTTAATGAAGTGTGCCAAGGTCTGTTGCAAGGTAAAGCACAGGTAGGCGTGCAGCTATCTGTCAGTGCTCACGTAGTAGCAGGGGAGGGGACACTGGAGATGGCAGCCACCAGTGCCTCTCCAGTTAGTGCTTGGAAGCAGCATCCTGTGGCTTGTTTCCTCTTTCCTCCACTCCAGCTCCAGGAGGTGTGACGGTGCCTCCATGTGACCTCCTGATGTGCTTCCAACTCTAGCAAGGGATGTCGCCTGGTTATTCTCGACATGCAGGACTCACGGTCTGTCCATCTAAACTCTGTGCTTTGAGGCATGGGCGAGACATTGCTGGCACAGCGGGTCCTCCCTGGAGTCGACCTGAGCAGGTGACTGTGAGCTGGTGGAAGCCGTGCGGCTTTTCAGGGAGACCCAGGTCCGGCTGTCCTCAGCCTTGGCCTCGTCTCACTCCGTCTCACACAGGTCGATGCGCACGTACGTTGGCAGGTGGAAAGGGCTCTCCACAAGCCCTGAGTCCCTGCTCCAGACAGCCTGCGCTGGAATCAGCAGGTGAACTTGAACTGGCTCAGGAGCAGAATCACCTTGGCTGGCGCTGCACTAAGGCAGGCCCTTCTGTGCTGGCAGCCAGGTGTGTGGTGCGCAGGAGTGCTGCTGCTTCTCCACCTTTCACCCTCCGTTTGGTCAAATGCGTGTTTTTCTTGTGCGACTATTTTCCCCCCTAAGTATATCCATAGAGGTGCCCAGCATGCGAGGAATGTTAGTGTCCTCACTCACAGGGTGATGCAGTCCTTGGGTACTACCAAAGGGAAAATCCTACTCTCCCCACCACTGTGGTTTAAGCCATATTTCTTTTTGCCTATATTTGCTTATTTTATAATAAGGCATCTCCAACCAGTAAATCTACGTTTACAACAGTATCAACACTCAAGTGCAAGATAATGCCATTTAGCACACTTGTAAATGACACTTGGAGGGAGGGAGCTGAAAAATACATCTACCTTTGATTTAAAATTTTCCACCAAAACAAAATGAAAATGTTTCAAGTTCACCCTGACCCTCATCGGGAATGAGTTGGCTTTTTTCAAATTTTTTTAAATTCCAATTTGTTATAAATGACAATGAAATGCATTAAAAGTCATATTACACATATAGAGAACAATTTTTCATATCTCTGGTTGTATACAAAGTATATTCACACCACTCATGTCTTCATAAATGTACTTTGGATGATGATGTCCATCTCATTTCACCATTATTTCTAACCCCATACCCCCTCCCTTCCCCTCCCACCCCTCTGTCCTATCTAGAGTTTGTCTATTCCTCCCATGCTCCCCCTCCCTACCCCACTATGAATCAGCCTCCATATATCAGAGAAAACATTTGGCATTTGTTTTTTGGGATTGGCTAACTTCACTTAGCATTATCTTCTCCAACTCCATCCATTTACCTGCAAACACCATGATTTTATTCTCTTAGATTTTATTCTCTTTTAATGCTGAGTAATATTCCATAGTGTAATATATAGCACAGTTTCTTTATCCATTCATCTACTGAAGGGCGTCTAGGTTGGTTCCACAGTTTAGCTATTGTGAATTGTGCTGCTATAAACATCGATGTGGCTGTGTCCCTTTTTATGCTGCTTTTAGGTCTTTGGGGCATAGACTGAGGAGAGGGATAGGTGAGTCAAATGGTGTTTCCATTCCCAGTTTCCCAAGGAATCTCCATACTGCTTTCCATATTGGCTGCACCAATTTGCAGTCCCACCAGCAGTGTATGAGTGTACCTTTTCTCCCACATCCTTGCCAACACTTATTGTTGTTTGTCTTCATAATATTGCCATTCTGACTGGAGTGAGATGAAATCTTAGAGTAGTTTTGATTTGCATTTCTCTAATTGCTAGAGATGATGAAAATTTTTTCATATATTTGTTAATTGATTGTATGTCATCTTCTGAGAAATGTCTGTTCATGTCCTTGGCCCATTTATTGATTGGGTTTTTTTGGTGTTTAGCTTTTTGAGTTCTTTATATACCCTAGAGATTAATGCTCTATCTGATGTGTGTGTGGTAAAAATTTGCTCCCAAGATGTAGGCTCTCTAATCACCTCAATTGTTTCTTTTGCTGAGAAGAAACTTTTAAGTTTGAATACAATAAGTTTATTGGCTCTTGATTTTAATTCTTGTGCTATAGGAGTCTTATTAAGGCAGCTGGGGCCTAATTTGACATGATGGAGATTTGGGCCTATTTTTTCTTCTATGAGACGCAGGGTCTCTGGTTTAATTCCTAGGTCCTTGATCTACTTTGAGATTGAGTTTTGTACAAGGTGAGAGAGAGGGGTTTAATTTCATTTTGTTGTATATGGATTTCCAGTTTTCCCGGCACCATTTGTTGAAGAGGCTATCTTTTCTCCAATGTATGTTTTTGGTGCCTTTGTCAAATATAATTGTAATTTTGTGGGTTAGTCTCTGTGTCCTCTATTCTGTACCTTTGGTCTACCAGTCTATTTTGGTGCCAATACCATGCTGTTTTTGTTATTATTGCTCTGTAGTATAGTTTAAAATTTGGTACAGTGATGCCACCTGCTTCACTCTTCTTGTTAAGAATTGTTTTGACTATTCTAGGTCTCTTATTTTTCCAGATGAATTTCATGACTGCTTTTTCTATTTCTATAAGGAATGCCATTGGGATTTTGTTTGGAATTGCATTAAATCTGTATAGTGCTTTTGACAATATTAATTCTACCCATCTAAGAGCAAGGTGGATCTTTCCATCTTCTAAAGTCTTCATTGATTTCTTTCTTTAGGGTTCTGTAGTTTTCATTGTAGTGGTCTTTCACCTCTTTCGTTAAGCTGATTCCCAAGTATTTTATTCATTTATTTATTTTGAGGCTATTGTAAATGGGGTAGTTTTCCTCGTTTCCCTTTCAGAGGATTTGTCACTGATGTACAGAAATGCCTTTGATTTATGGGTGTTGATTTCATATCCTTCTACTTTGCTGAATTCATGATGATAGTGTCATCCGCAGGATGAAAATATCTGAGTAGTAATGGTGCTTCCCCATCCTGTGACTAAACTGATTGGAATAAGACCTTGTCCTGCAGTGCTGAAGGAGGAGGGTGACAGCAGGTAGTCATGCTAAACTCTACAAGTTTTGTTTTACAAAATTATGGTGGGGCTGTGGTGTAGCTCATTGGTTAAAGCACTTGACTGGCAGCACGAGGCCCCAATTAGACCCTTAACACCAGAAAAAAAAGTTAGGGTACCAAAAAAAATTGTTTGGAGCCTCAACAAGCCTCATAGAATTTATTTAAGGAGGGCTGAGATGTGCAGAGAACTCTAGTATTTTAGTCAGCTTTTACACTGCTGTGACCACAAGACCTGCCGAGAACAATGAGAACATGACAAGTTTATTTGGGAGCTCACAGTTTCAGAGGTCTCAGTCCATAGACAGACCCTTGGGTCTGGAGGTGAGGC